TAGGATCCTTCATATACCTTGGAAGCATCATCGATGAGCAAGGAGGTTCAGATGCAGACGTAAAGGCGAGGATGGGAAAAGCAAGGGTTACATTCCTACAATTGAAGAACATATGGAACTCAAAACAACTTTCAGCCAATATCAAAGTAAGAATCTTCAATACAAATGTCAAGGCAGTTCTACCGTATGGAGCTGAAATATGAAGAACTACAACAACCACCATCAAGAAGGTACAAGTATTTAGAAATGGCTGTCTACGCAAGATACTCAACATCCATTGGCCGGATAATATCAGCAACAGAGTCCTGTGGGAGAGAACAAACCAGCTCCCATCTTAGGAGTAAATTAGGAAAAGACGATGGTAATGGATAGGACATACATTGAGGAAATCAGCAAACTGGATCACCAGACAAGCCCCGACTTGGAACCCTGAAGGGAAACGGAAAAGAGGAAGGCCAAAGAACACATTATATCGGGAGATAGAATCAGGTATGAAAAGGATGAATAACAACTGGAAAAAGCTGAGAAGGATTGCTTGAAACAGGGTTGGATTGTGAATGCTGGTGAGCGGCCTATGCTCCTCCAGGAAGAGGAACAAGCGTAAATAACTAAGTATCTAATATCGGATACACCAAATCGATCAAACTGTCTGATGTTTATCTGATTATCCTTTTGTAGTGACTCACTATTATCACGAGAACAAGATTGGTTTAATGAAAACAGTTATTATTATTATAACCAATTATACCTGTGCTTGTTTAATGTGCTCTTTATTTAACTGTGCTAATGACAGCTATATTATGCTTCCACTATTATTCTTAGACTTTGACTGTGAACTCGCGTGAATTCAGTTACGCTCTGTAACCAAGCTTGTATACTGGCACGATATCGGTATTCTTTCGGTACCACGGGGTCCCCAGCAAATATATCTCGACTTGGTTCATTAACTGCCTTCTGATATTTGGCTTCCAGGGGATTTTATGGATATCCTGGCACGCGTTCCTTTGTAGTGGTGTTCATAGTCAATCTCGACTCGACACCACGCTACACTTTTTTAAAACGTTTTTAGTCATATATGCAAAGATTATATTCAAAATAATCTTTGTTAAAGGTGTAACCTCTATTTTCTTATTACGTGGTAAGTTACCATGTTGGCACGGTTGGATAAACTGTAAAGGAGGATTTGTTACATGAGTTGCTAGTAAAGACCTTAGAACACCTCTGTATGTATGTATAATTCATTGTAGAAAAGATCATATGCATAGCGGGTGAGAGGGAATATTTTCAAAATAATGTTTGTTAACAGATTTACTTTTTTATTGTATATTTATGTCTAATGGTTTATCAGGATACAGAACACGTGAACTCATACCACATGACCCAGGCGGCTCAAAATAATTATGTAGTTGCATTGATTCTCAATTACACGATTTTTGGAAGCCGAAAGTATAAAAACTAAGAAAATTCACATCCAACATAGCGAATGTCAAAAATGGTGAACGCGAGAACTCTTGATTGGTATGGAGTGGCTCAGCCATGGAGGCGCGGTCACTATATGTAGCTCACTCCTTTCCATATTTAATATTTCATCCGATCCTATGCCAAAATATGTTCAGAAGTGCTATACATCATGTTACTGACCGTCGCGATAGGACGAGGTTGTGATTTAATTAAAGACTTATATTTTTATTACCAAAGTTCCCATTGCATGTTGCCGGATTATTGACAGTAAAGTCGTGTTAGACTAAGCTCAAGGTCACGGCGTGATTCAGTGTGTGACTGTTAACCTTTTGGCGATCTGCTTGTGAGGATTGCTGGAATCCCTGCAGATAGATATTTGATCCCATCTTGTTGGGAATATTTTTTTGATTCTCAGTTCTCGTACCCTTTAGTATCAACTGTTTCTTTTATTGCTCAGCGCTCTACTTTGCGTCAGAGAAAATTCTCACTGTATAGCACAGGCTGTACCGCTTGAGGTATTTTGTATTTCTGGTATAATTTGCTCTGTTTCCTAAATTAGAACCGTCTAAATTGAGAAAGGAGTTTGTGTTTTGATATAATTTAATACGAGTATCTCGAAAACGCTTTGTAAGCTATACAGAAGAACATAGTCTGGCCTATTCGAATACATTTTGGTTCGTTAGTCCTGCATTCAAACCGAATACTGGCAGTTCGGATGTTACACCAATAGTAGCATGCCACGTTGATACTCTAGAAAGCTACATCATGTTCTGATTGGCTGGAACTGTTCGTCTCCTTTAGGGCCTCTGGAGGTTCCGTTGTAGTTCTCGGAGGCTGAATCAACACGAACCCCGGTATTTCGGTCGTTACAGACTCTCTAATATTGGTTCAGACCGGCTCCATGTGTTACAACTCATCACACTTTTATAGTGTGATTGTACAAGGGAGTATGCAAGGGCCTCTTTTATTCGCAATGTGAATCGACAGAATTTGTGGCTGCGTTAACTCAGGAAGGAAATTCTTGTGGTCTGATGATCTAAAGGTAGTCTATTCATGCCACAGGGGCAGAGCATATAAGATCGCTAATTTCATACAAAAGGCACCAAGTGAGGTGATTGTATGAAGTAGAAAGTTCCAACTTCAGTGTAATATTAATAAATGCGACTGGATTACTATCGGATACAACAACCTATGATTCCGTTTTGAGGTGGCTAGTATGCCTATGTCCCATTGTGATACCGTTTAAGACCTTGTCCTGAGATACTCGAATGGCCTAATTTTTTTCAAAACAAATAACGTTAGTCAGCCCGAGGTACAGAAACTCATGAGTTGCATAATTCTGGGTCTATGCCAATACCATATAAAGCCTGTGTTTCTATACAGTGCTTTTATATTGTCCATTTATATACAGGAGCTTTCGTTTAAGCAAAAATCTAAAATTGAAGGAATACTGCAATATCTCACAAGAATAGCTTAAGGAATGGACTGTGATCAGAATTACGTTAGGGTTGGAACCTTTAAATCAATGTACAGTAACGCTTAATCTTACATTTACGAGTTTGTGCACTAAATAATACACCCTTCATATGTATCGTTAGGTTTCACCGATTCGTCCAATTACAATCTAAGTTTTCTGTCATTTAAAATACCCTACCATTCGGATCATGTGGAGCAGATATGTTATATCTTGAAAAACTGATTTCTCGATATACCGCGTATAACAGTGCACTAGAACACCAAAACTCTTCCAAGTCGCAATTAGAAGACAGAAGACTAACGAAAGGAATATTATTCCAAACAGTGTCAATCATAGTACAAAATTGTCAAGTATTTATAGTTTTTAGTGAGAACGAAATCATCATTACAGTCTTCCGATCCGCATACAGGGGGTTATTAGCATTATCCAATCGGGAAGCTACACGTTGGAGTTCTAGAACATTCTTCCGAAAGGTGATCGGATGAGACGTCTTCGGCTCCTTCTGAGCCTCTTACAGCTTCCTTGAGTTCACCGGTGGTCCGTCGTCACAAGATACAAAGAGCCACTTCATTCGTGAGCTAAATAGACTTTGAGATGACTCTAAGACAGTAAATGTTGAAGCATTATATTTGGATCTCAAGACAAATAACCAGAACATGACTCCAAAGTGCTCCTTCCTTCATACTTCATACTGAAATCCTTTCTACAATGAATGACCTTATAGCGGCTTATGGATACTGTACTACGATTATTTATCTAACCTAGACAGGTGTGACATTCCTCCTCCTCATTTCTTCCTCCATAGTACCAGTTGCTTTTTTCTGAAAGCTTGTAACAACAGTGAACTTACTCTACAGTCCCATCACAATAACTTGCCTATTATTCAGCTTATGTATCTGGGTGAATACCACCATATAATTTCACTGATTTTATCATTTCGATAACCACATTTTTATCACATCTCGTTACTAGATTCACGTTGCAAATTATTGGTCGGGGTTTTTTTATTGACGAGGACCTGCTGTGTCAGAAATTGTTACCTTCACGTTTTCACTCTCTTTCGTTATTGAAACGTCCGATCTCAAATAACAATAGATCCAAAATCCAAATCAGGCATCAAAGTCTGTTTGCAAATTACAGGAAACTGACCCAAATACCTTTCTAATAATAAATAATAATAAACAAACTCTAAAGTACTGAATTGAAGTCGGAAGTTGAAAAATGAAAATGCGGCCGTACACTAAGATGGGGGCAAGGTGAAAAATTCTTATTAGAGTGCGAATTGTTTAACATCCGTGGTTTGAGCCATAGAAGAAGTAAATAATCTACCTTTTGAAAAATATCTATTAAAAACTCTCTTTTTGAATCCATATTGATACAAGACAACAGCAAAAGGATTACAAATTGTTTGCATTCCCTTTCTTCATCAAACTGGTCCAGAATGTCAAGCATATTACCGTAAGAAACCATTCATGGGCAGCTTCTAGTCTTATTGTTAAGTTATGAACCACCTACTGGTCTTGTTGGTCAGACTGGGTTACGTGTGGAAGGTTTCCCGAATTACAGGAAGATCCGAGACTTCACAGACATTGCTAGTTCTTTTTAAAGACTCGGTAAGAATAGCTCATTGGATGAATATAAATCTGTCCTTCTTATAAAAAGATAGGTAGAGGATTCTGATGGTGAATAGCAATGATTTTAGTGTTTGTTCTCACTGATGCGCATAGAAAGTTAAGTCAATGTTTTCTCATCACCATTCCCTTAGTATTTAACCTATGTTTTTTTTAGGTTAAACAATCAAAATGAGAACTGTGTGCTCTCTTAGTTTGGAACCATCCCCAAACAATTCAGATGCACAACTGAAAAACCAACAGTTCCCCATTTCCCTCATGGAAGATCTAATGTACGAAAACCAGAACTAAAGTACTTTAAATTCTACGTTTTTAATGAGCTCGGCGCATTAGGTCTTTTCGATTACCAATTTTTAATGAAAATATTGCAAGAAAGTCAACTACCAGGAAATTGTTTGTGTTAGGCAAATTGAGGGGTGAGTAACCTTTGTGATTTGTAGCGCGTTAATTCTAGCTTTTAAATCGTAGTGTTCTGTCGATGGCGCATTTTTACCACGTGACTACCCAACGTCCTACTGCCGTGGTAAAAACGTGTACAGGTAATGCAGGATAATCTCTATTATCTCTTTAATCAGGCCATTTTACCAGCCCAAATGATCTGAACTTACTGATATGCAAAAACACATATGTTGAGGTTTTTGAAGTTACATGTGAAGGCTTGAAATTGATTCGAGATGTGCCTATTAATGCCAAAATCGTTGCCGCTAGTCTGTTCAGACGAAAAGTTAGTGTTCGAGGAAATTTTATTAATTCCAGGATCGTGAAACGGATTCGTTATTTTTACTCACTCACAAAGCTGGTGTCGCTATCATTGAATGTGTGCGAAGCAATGATTCAGTTGAGTTTGTCACTGTCGCTTCTGGAAGTGTAGAGGTACTGCAATATTTTAAGTGTACTAAATATTTCAGGATAGAAGTGCACGAATAATCGACCAGGGTTTCGACGTTCTAATCGACCCTGGTGCCAACTATATTGTTGTACGGCTGTACCATGGGCTTTTAAAAATCATATTACTCCAATGTATTGGCGAAAAAATAGGCACTGATTTTCTAGATACAAACCAGTGGACTGTAAATACATACAGCGTGAGGTTAGTGCAATCCGTTTGTAGTTTATTCCCTTAAGAATCGAAGAAGGTAACATTGTTGATATGGCCTTCATATATGGCTATAGTTTACCAACATTTGCTATGATTTATGAGGATGAGCTTGTGTTGCATATGAAAACATATGAAATATATGGACGGGAGCCCGTACTTCGCAATGTTCAACTGACCCTAGATTCCATAGAACCTGATTCTAAACTTCTTATTCCAGTTCCGAAACCCTATGGAGGCGTTATTTTAGTCGGCGACAATATTATATGTTATCATACCAAAGATGGACCCCATATATCTCAGTACATTCCACAAGCAAAGGTGAGTTCTATTCTATTTTCTTCCTATCTGTTTTAAATATTCCGTTTTAAATCTCAAGTTATGTTTCCATAGTTTGTTTCATTAAGTTCCCCAAATATCTTATGCATAACACTTAACTTGACCCCTTAACAGTTTTCATCTCTTTTCTAGTTTCAAGTTTTCTGTAGTGATTCGATAGCTCATTTTAACAGTATTGGTTGGGTATGTTGACGATTTATATCTATATCATTAAGTTCTCAACTGTCCACTAATGATCTGTGCATTCGGCGTTTTTTCTCTAAATTCATGTCTGGTAATCGTCTAGTGCCTAAAAAGATTTGTGGGGAAAACAGGGAGAATATCCAACTGATATTTACTATCATATGTTACTATAAATTTGTCCAGTTGGAGCTGTTTGGGTCAAGTCAAAGCAGTTCTGGCCGTAAACGAGGCCACAAATAACATTCAACTGTTCGGTAGGCTTGAACCCTATATTCGATTTGAGTATTCTTATCTACTTGTTTATTTGCACACAGATATTGGTGCAAAGGGGCATCAAAAACATGCGCCACACAATAACAATGAGAATGTGAAGAGATAAAGAATGTAAAGTGTGTACAAGAAAAAGGAGAACAATAACAAACAGAAATTAGTGTATGATAGTGAAATAATAATAATAGTGCGAGAGGCATTTCAGTTAGCACAGATACAACCAGAAAGAATTCTTCCAGTTAAAGATGTTACGTTCATTTGTTATGAAGAAAGATACAGCAGGGTCACCACTGGCCTCTGTTCTGAGCCATATCTGATAACGTCTTAAGTCACTATGTTGCACCATCTCTCGGACCCCAGCCAGGTTGTCGTGACGAACCAATGGCTGCGAAACGTGGCCATTTAAGGGTAAAGGATACTCGTAAGTTACTAGAAATATTGCTCGCATCTGCTTGGTTAACTGGGTAAGTAATAGTGAGGTAAGACTCATGGTATTAGGGAATGATGGTTAATCAGTTGATGAGGTTGTGAGTCTTTATCGACTGAGATGGTTGAGCTACGTGTTACGTGTGCCTGAACACTGATTACCACGACGCGCAATGCTGACTAGTGTTGGGGATGGTTTACTATATTTCCCTTCCAGCTTCCTCGTTATATCATATAGTTGTCTGATATTTCTTTCTCTCGCGGCTATTTTTGCTGTCGTTGATAGGTCTTCCACATATTTCTGCTTGTCGGCTACAATGCTCCTCTTCACTTGTTTGCTTTAATGTATTCAGTTTGTGCCTTGACTTTCTCTGTTCTTGTCCGGCTGTCTTCCTGTTATTCCTTTCTTTAATCAAGAATAACCTAAGTAAATTCCGTGCCCCCATGTTCAAACCTGTTTACTTAGAATGGAGAATAAGACGGCATCAGATTCACTACCAGCTTCATTTCTGATCCATTCATTAAGAAAATCAGAACTCAGCATTTGTATTAAAAATCCAAACCTTGATTCATCCATCCCTCTTTTTCTGTTCAAGTTATATTCTTGCTCGTCGTACAAAATCCTTGGTACGCAAGTCCTTACGCGGTTATCCATATAACCGCATTTGGAGAATTTTAACTTTCTAAAAAATTTCATACTTTGGTGTCCTCTCATAAACTGACCGATTCCCTATTAATGTTGGTATAATTACCTCCAATGTTTCCCATTTCATTCTCTCTGTATGCTAATGTGAATTGTAATAGACTGACCGATACACATTTTTGGTGATTCTACGTCATATCTATTTGTTTTAATGTCGTTAAGCACTCAAGCAACTGTCTACGTATTAATGTATAACAATTTTTTTTAATTTTGGAAAATATATTCATCTTTTAAGGCTAGCCAAGTACTGTGTTACGCTGCTGTTGATGCACAACGTTATCTACTGGGTGATATGGCTGGGCGCTTATACATGGTACATTTACTCTCCGAAGATATTTCTGCGGCCGCTAGCAATGGTACAAGTACCTCTGATAGTCTTTCAGCAGTTCGAATTGGTTCTATCCGAATTGAACTTCTTGGTATGTTGATTAGATCCTATTACTTTTGTGTAGGATTGTTTTCAGTTGTGATTCTCGTTATATTTCAGTTTTAGTGTTCTAATGACTTCCAATAGTCATACAACTTGATGAAACATTTTGTTTACCTATGAAAAAGAGACAGTTTATTGGAACATGTTTCTTTTATACCTACAATTATGTTTCATATACGTTTCGCCTAATGCTTCTATAGTGAATGACCGGTTTGTCATATTTCCTTATTTGTTTGAAAATATTGGGTTTAGATTGTAAAGAAAACCATCTATCCAATTACGATGTCTGTAAACTTAGTTTTGCCAAACTGTATTTGACTAAACTTTTTGATAGATGGTTAAGGAAGTAAATTAAATGTGTTATACCTTAATGTTCATGGAATTTTGTATTAAGCTATGCTTTGAGCGATAATTACTTATGATTTCCATTTTATGTGACAGAGTATAAAAATATCTCAGTTTTTGTTTATATATCAATTTGGCTGATAACTTGAATCACACTTTCCAACTTTATTCATTTTCTTAGGGGAAACTGCGACACCTGAATCTATAGCCTACCTAGACAATGGAGTTGTATTTATTGGCTCAACACTTGGGGACTCACAGTTGATTCGTTTAAATCCTGACCCAGATCCTGAGCGTAATAGTTATATAACTATTTTAGAAACATATACAAATATTGGACCGATAGTTGACATGGTCTTATTAGAAACAAAAGGTCAGAATCAATTGATCACTTGTTCAGGAGCTTATAAAGAAGGAAGTTTACGTGTTATACGCAATGGAATTGGGATTCATGAACATGCTACTATTGATCAAGATCTAATTAAAGGTTATTGTTTTTATTTTATTTTGTAACGACTTCATCATTTTACTACTTGTTGAGATTCGAGTGTAAAAGATTCGGAATTTCCCTATAGAGATGGTAATTGATTTGTCATGTTTATTACTGTTATCCTTAGTTTGAAATGAACTTGTTTTAAAATCTTTATGCACTAATCTGATAATGTTTAGGATTGAACTTTTTAGTTTGTGTCTTTCAGTGTATTATTCGGTGATGTTCATAATCCCCAAGGTACCTGTCGGACAATAATTATATATACCTTGCTAATTTCATCTTTGTGTGCTGATTTGGTGTGATAACTTGATCTAATACATATTTGTGCCACGCATTTACGATGTTGGTAACTGACTGACTGACATCACTATACGTTAGTTGTAGTTGGCGACACCAGGTAATGTTGATGTCAGTAGACCAACCCTTCTAAAATGCTTAACAATTTAATAGTTAAATCCTACTTGTTTTCTGTTATCCCTTGCTTAATTGATCAATTCACGCATAGTGAAAGCCAAAGCGGTTTATACCAATCTGGATCCCCCTTGGCGACTTCGTGATGTTAGTCTGGCTGTAAAAGGTCGGATCTTTAACGCTTTGGTGAGTGCAGTTTTGTTCTATGCTTGTAAAACCTGACCATTCCGAGTTGAAGATGTTAGACGACTCTCTGTTCTGATCATCGTTGTCTCAGAAGGATTGATGACATCCAGTAACAAACCATGTTAGTAATGCAAAGGTTCGGCATCGTGTGTTCGGGCACAATGACGATTATTCAATTCTTGTCACTATCGTGAAACATCGACTTCAGTGGCTTGGAGATGTTCTAGGAATGTCGTACCAGGAAATTCCACGTCGTGCGTTATTTGCCGACGCTGGGACTGGTTGGAAAGAGCGGAGATTGTCAGTGTATGACATGGTGTCGTGGTATCAAAGAAAGCTGTACAAGACTAACTTCTGTTGGTTTTTCACGACTCCCTGGCTGGGGTCCTAGAGATGGTGCAACATAGTGACTTAAGACGTTATCAGATATGGCTCAGAACAGAGGCCAGTGGTGACCCTGCTGTATCTTTCTTCATAACAAATGAACGTAACTTCTTTATTTATTTATTTATTTATTTATTTATTTGAACACATAAATATTGGTACAAGAGAGCGCCAATATATATGCGCCACACAAAACAATGGGAATTCGAAGAGAAGTAGAAAGAAAAAAAACTGAGGAACGCAAAAAAAAGAGAGAGTAATGACGAAGAGGTACAATCAGAAGAAATCTTTCAGTTAAGGAAGATACAACCACTTTTTATGAAGAAAGTAAAAGAAGGTTACAGCAGGATCGCCACTGGCTTCTATTCTGAGCCATATCTGATAACGTCTCTAGCCACTGTGTAGCACCATCTCTCGGACCCCAGCCAGGGAGTCGTGAAGGACCAACACAAGCCAGTCCTTTGCAGCTTTCTTTCATGCCACGACACCATGTCATGCACTGACCACCTCTCCGCTTCTTCCAACCAGTCCCAGAGTCGGCAAATAATGCACGACGTGGAATTCTCTGGGACGACATTCGGAGAACATGTCCAAGCCACCGAAGTCGGTGTTTCAAGATGGTGACACCAATTGAGTTATCATCTCTGTGCCCGAACACACGATGCCGAACCTCTGCATTACTGACTTGGTGTTGCCACTGAATGTCAGCAATCCTTCGGAGACAGCGATGATCGAACACAGAGAGTCGTCTAACGTCCTCAACTCGGAGAGGCCAGGTTTCACAAGCATAGAGCAAAACTGCTCTCACCGACGCGTTGTAGATCCGGCCTTTTACAGCCAGACTAACATCACGAAGGCGCCAAAGGTGGCCCAGATTGGCATAAGCCGCTCTGGCTTTCACTATTCGTGCATTGATCTCATCACTCACACCCCCACCAGCACTTATGCAGCTACCCAGATACACGAACTTCTCAACGACGTCTATCTGCTCACCATCCAGGGTGAGTACAGGATTGGAATCCTGCCAGTCTTGTAGAAGTACTTTGCACTTCGAAGGTGCAAAGCACATACCATACCTACGGACATTGATTGCCAACTGATTAAGTGCGGATTGCATGCCTTGGGCATTATCGCACAGTAAGACAATATCGTCCGCATACTCAAGGTCAAGAAGTCTTTCTCCAGGCAACAGATCCACACCACCATTACTTACATTCATCAGAGCTGTTTCCAGAATGTCATCGATGGCAAAGTTGAAGAGGAATGGTGAGATTGGGCAACCCTGCCTAACCCCACTGCTCGAATGGAACAATGGAGAGAGGTGGTTGTATGCCCTCACTCTGCCTGAGGTGTTTTTATACAGGGCTTTTAGGATGTTAATAAACTTCTCAGGCACACCCTTCTTCAATAGACAATCCCAGAGAACTGTCCTATCCAACGAATCGAAGGCAGCCCTGATGTCAAGAAACACTACGATCGTTGGCCTTTGAAAAATATGGCGGTGTTCTAACATTTGGCGGAGGGTGAAGATATGATCAATACATCCTCGACCAGAACGAAACCCAGCCTGCTCCTCGCGAGTCAATCTTTCTCGGGTTTTGAACAACCTACGAAGAATGACGGAAGCCAATAGCTTGGACGCAATCGAAAGTAAACTTATCCCCCGATAGTTGTTACAAGAACGACGTGAACCCTTTTTAAAGATAGGGACAACTATCGACTCATTCCATGACGTTGGTACACTCTCTAGTTCCCAAACCTTTGTAAACAACGTCGTCAATTCCTTAGTCAAAAAGTCACCACCATCTTTAAAAAGAGCCGGAGGTAAGTCATCTGGGCCAGGTGATTTGTAACGCTTCAAGAGTTGGAGTTCCTTGCGGACTTCCTCCTCATTTGGTGGATCAGTCGTCACCGGCCATGGAGGGCAGGACAGTCTGACCGATGTTGCCGGAGCAGCAGGCCAGTTGAACTGCCCTTCGAAAAATTCTGCCCATCGTCCAAGACGTCGATGGATGTTAGTGATTGGCATCCCATCACCCTCGCAGATTGTTTCACTCACACCAGACTTCTTGCTGCCAGTGGCTCGGATGAGTTGGAAGAGCTTCCGGTAGTTACCAGATGCAGCTGCTGCATCCAGCTCATTAGCACGCATCGACCACCAGGCTTCTCGGTCCTTACGCAAGCTTTGCCCGGTTTCCTTACGTAAAATCCTTCGTTTATGGTCAAACTCACGGTTACCCGGAGTAGACCGACGGGCTTCAATGAGTTGTAAGGAACCAGAAGAAACCCAGTGCTTAAAAGCGGGACGTTTCGCAAACCCACAACTGACTGTTCCCGCCATTTTCATGGCGTCATGCAATTGCAACCAATGCTCATCTATACTTTTCGGTGGAGTGGTAGCTAACCTAGAGGCTAGCTCGATTCGATACTTATTTGCAACAGAAGTTGCAACCAGCTTGCTAACATCAATCCGTTGATGGCGTTCACTTCGTTGTCCACTGAAAAGTAAGGCAAGATTGGCCCAGACCAAGGCATGGTCAGAGTCCAGATAGGTACTCCAAAAGGAGCGGCAGTCTTGTACACAACCACGCCAGCGGTAGCTGATCGCGATGTGATCAATCTGAGTCCAGGCTTGAGATGCAGAGGGAGGACGCCAGGTGGCACATCGGCGATGACTGTGCCGAAAGTTAGTGCTAGCCAGAAACAGGTTGTGGTCTGTGCAAAGTTGCAGTAGACGGTCCCCGTTATCTGACCTGCGACCAACGAGTCCCCATCGGCCACCTAAACGACTCTCTTCTGTGCCTAGACGCCCGACCTGAGCATTCAAGTCTCCGGCTAGTACTACAATATCTGTCGAACGCACTTTCTGGAGAAGAACTGATAACTGGTGGTAAAACTCATCCTTGATTGCATCCGGGCTGCATTCTGTCGGGGCATAGGCGGAGATGACGAAAAGACATCGTTTCTCACGCCGATTTCTTCTCACTTTGATGGAACTTTCTAATCTAACAGCACATAACCGACTGTTAATGGGGATCCAATCGACTAGTGCTGCCTCAGCTCTAGCGCTTAGTGCGACACCAACGCCAGCAAGACCAGACGAAGATGCCACAGGGTCCCCGGATAAGCGCACGTAAAACAAGCTTTTCGAAGCGACAGATGGAGATCGAATTTGTAGTACTTCGCCAGAGTCTTGAATACGGGTCTCGGATAGACAACACACGTCGATATTAAGACTTTCCAAAGACATAGCCAGCCCTATCTGTTGTCCGACCTGCATAAATGTGCGAACGTTGAAGGCAGCCAGTTTGAATGGTGCACGTGGTTTCAGAAAATCTGCTTCAGTCCTCGTATTCGGTGGTAACATACAATTTTCAACCGGACAGTGACTCGAGAACGTTTAGATACAGTCGGAATTCCACCAAAGACGAGCCGCTGTATAAGTATAAAAGAAGGTGAATAATGTGGAAAATAATAATAATAATAATAATAACAATAATAACCATAATGACAATAATAGTAGTAATAATAATATTAGTATTAATAATGACAATAATTGTAGTGATCATAATTTGAATCAATTGATTGTTTTTCAAAGCGACAAAGGTAATTTCCATGGACATAGAGTTCATCATTTGTGTGTGGGCTGTGATACTGCCCGGGTGCCCAAACCGAAGCAGGTGGTTATCTTAGGGGGCCACTCCCCGAGCCTTTGACCTAAAGGTCTAACCCACAAGGCAGTGGAGCATCGTAAGGAGATGCAGTCCCATGGTAGCCGGTGACCAACGATTGGTTCATACGCCATTCGTTCCCGCAGGATACTGGAGCCCATGTGCACCATTGATTTGGAATCCGGTTAAAGCGCCGGACATTCGCTTTTCGTCCTATGTTTTTGATGCCCTCTTGTGCAAATGTTTATGTGTTCGAAATGATAAATAATTGTTTTCTCGTGATTATCCTGATTCTGTCATCGACTACTTGTACTGTTTGATTCTTCGTTACGTTATAAGTTTTATGCCATATGATTTTATTTTTAACATCCACAGAGTTGTCCAGGAGTACAGCATAAATGAAATAACGCTGATTTCTTCACGATTTTTGAGTTCTTAGTCAACATCTGGTATTATTTCCTCAGGACACAGTAGGCTTACAGTTGATTAGATCTTAAAAATATACGTCATCAAAAATTCAGTTTACTTATCTGATTCGAATTGTGTTTCGATCTGTCCTAATTAGTAGTTAGATTTATTTACTCACTTATATTTATGACATCCTTGCCGAAATGAATCAAATTGGAATGTTTTATTCATTTCTAGGTGCTTGGTGCTTCCCGATTGAATCTGATCGTTTCGATGATACAATTGTAGTATCTATGGTTGGTCAGACCCAGTAAGTAATGTATTTAGTGTTTATCTGGATCATTTATTATAACTCAAATTATTTGTTACCCGATTTATTAAACACTAAATATCTTATTTAAGGTACGGATACGTATTATTTCGTTGTCTTCACTACAACTGAACCCAGTTACATTGGGTCATCTGTAACCAGACACAATCATTGGGTTTATCCTGTTGGGAATAAATAATGGTTTATACGATTGTGCAGTTGTCTACTACTCATTTACTTTTATTTAGTTTTCATAAAGTTAAGAGACAGAAATGACTAACTATTTAACATCTGTCCTGGAATTATTATAACCTGGAAGTTACGCAACTTCACAATAAATTTTAAAATGATATACTTGTTTGTATGTATGTTTCTTCAAGTTAAGTTCACATTCATATCAACAGTATGGATAATTGATTAATAATCCATTAGACGCATTTTTATTTCTGTGGATTTTTTTTCAATATTTTAAATTCTTTATCCTTCATTCTTCCTATTTATAGACTTCTTCACCTTGCGGATGATGATATTACAGCTCTACACTTGGAAGGCTTTAAGACTGATGAACAAACTGTTTATTGTGCTACACTATCACCCTCTAGTGATTCACCTAAGCCAGAATGTATGATGATTGACGAGAATAATAATACATTAGATCCTTTACTGTTACAAGCAACAACAAGTGGCTTACGCCTAATTGGTATTCAATCACTTTGTGGCAAAGGTTGTTTAACAGAATGGAAACCACCAACTGGACGTGGAATCTCTTGTCTTAGCTCATTTCGTCATACTATCGTTGTAGCAAGTGGGACAGAATTATATGTGTTAAAAGTAGTTGGAGAATCGAATAATCCAAAATTTGAACAAGTTTCGTAAGTTTTTAAAATTTCTGTTTATTGTGAAATCATATACGTCTAGTGTACACATCATATTGAAACAGTAAAAGCAACGTGAACATTCTTATTGTTTGTTAGATATGAAATGTCTAGCATTTATCGGGTGAAGAAAAACAAACGAACCATCAACAAATTCATTTGTAATAGGATACTTTCAGCATTCTATTATATAAATGGATTGTTGTCTAACATACTTGACTAGATTTTCAGTTTGTTTCAAACTTGGGTAGACTAGGTTATCTTCATGCTTATGGACTCAAAGAACAACAGTAAGTGTCGAGCGTAGAAATCGGTATGTATAAGTAAATTCATGGTACTGATAAACGTTTACTTATAATCCGAATGCTATTCAAAATCGTTTTTATCCAATTTTATCTTGAGCGTTCACCGTTTTTACTATTTTCACCTCGAATATCTATATATCCGTTACCTGAATGTCATTTATTCTCAAAAGAATACAGTGTGAAGAATCTCAAGATAAAACTTTTGTGTATACATCATTTTAAAAAAAGCATAAAAGCGTATGTGGTATTTTGCTTCTAAGCAAACTAGGGCTTAGTCTACACACGGATCTTCTTACCGTCAGACATATAAATTATTTTATTTGATCACTAATTTTGGTAGATTTATCTAATGAAGCTATGCTATAAATCAGGAGTTTTGATTTGCGTTTATCACACATAAATTTAATAATTCAGCCATAGACGAGGTATGAATGAAGTATTCATCACAGCTGTTATTATTTTTGTATTCAAGAAAGTTCGGAAATATGGGACCACACAAAAAGGTTGTATTTTCCTGATTAGTCACTCGACTGTAGGTGCTGCCTTGATGTGGTGGTCGGGCTTCTCTTCGTAATAATCCAATCAAGCTCTGTTGGCTGGGACAATTATGAGGAACGGTAAAGCTAAGAGCAGCAACCTAAGATCCAAGGGCGGCGTCGCATCGCTAACTAAACCAGTGTGTGACGGCAGTAAGTTTTTTATCTTAGACAACCAGCATATACCGAGATGCTGCCTTCTCACAATGGGAGGAGCTCTAGAAAAAAACGGCCCTACCATATCCCACGGACTCCCGTCTCCGGCGGTAACACCTTTAAATTAGGGGGCTAGCATATCAAAAGCTTCTCACAAAAATGTCATGTGCGACTGCTTTCAAGCAGCTGTCGTTTTAGTTCCGTGGTTATGTTAGTGGTCCCTTAAGTTTAAATATTCTGTGTTTACCCAGACGGTGCAGATAATTAATAGTGTTTTGTTTCATATTCATTCCTTTAAAAAATATCCAACTGGAAAGAAGTTCAAAATGTTCTTATGTGATAATGTATTTTATTATTATGACTACTCTCAATGAATTCTATATATCCTATTTTGTCCTCTAATTTTTTTTGCTTACATAGACATAGACAAATGTCCCATGAAGTGGCTTGTATTGATCTAACTCCCTTTAATCATGATCGTGCAATTGCAGCTATTAATGCAGTGTCATCAAATTATATAGATCCAACTTCATCTTCTACTCTTGATAAATCTGTACCATCTTTAGTTGCAGTCGGTTTATGGTTAGGACATGGTCTCGCTTTACTTAAACTTCCTAATTTAGAACTTGTTCATGAAGAACCTTTACCGGAGACAACAGCATCAACTGGTACAGCTCTATTACCTCGTTCTGTATTGATTGCTCAGTTAGAGGATATGGCTTATTTATTTGCTGCAATGGGTGATGGTACTCTTTACTTTTATACAATTGATCCTTCAGAAGGTGAGCCTTACTTATTTCCCGTGTATAATCATGTTAACACATACTGACTGTATCATATCAGAATAATAGTTGCCTTGTATAATTTCAAATATTTATTCACATGGCAACTTTTTAAAATGAAGTTGTGATTGAAAAACCATTTTTTTCTTTTGTTTGAGTTTGTTTAGATCGTTTTCACATATTTTTAAACAATTGTAACTATTCTAAGAACATTTGTTTAGACATGCCTAAAAATACCGTATACCCGCTAATTAACGTCGGATAATTATTACAAGGTATTTCAAATTCTAACGATCGGGCTAAACACTACTGTTTATGTATAATAGTTTATAGTGAGTTTTCAACGGTTCAAAGTTCAAGTCCTCAAACTTATTTTCATGATATGACATTCGTGTGTATGTCTATATGTATGTCTTCTACACCTAATTTAATATCTACATCTATACAGCCATAGTTTTGTGATTTAAATGCAGTTGACTTCCATTTGATAAGTTACAAGCCCAAACGTCTCCCCACCTACGTTGGTTTAAGCACCTGAATAACACCACTAATTCTTGAACTCAAAAATATGTTACTAAAAAGTTAAATGTAAAAAAATGCACTTGATAAATAAGTTTCATTAAATTAAAGTATCTGTATTTATTCGAGTAATCTGCCAAAGTAGTTGATGGTTGTAGCGATTTATCGACTGTAGTAATGACGAGTTGTTAGTTTGTAAATTTAATTCAGGGGTTTATTTATCTACAATAGCTTTCAGTTTATTGATTGTTTCTGTTTTCCCCATGGTCTCAAGTATACATTTAAAAATAGTTGGTAGTGAAGAAACAGATGATTTTCTAGCATTTAGATGAGTTTGACCACAATTTCAGTGTATACCGAAACATGCTAGCACAGATACATTGAGATGAGAAAACTTTAGAATAAAACAAAAATATTGAAAATTTTCTTAGAATTTCGTGTTAAGCTCCTACACCATATATAGTCCCGGAACTTATTTTCTGACAAAATTGAAATTAAGGTGAATCATATACGTGTGATCAGTCACAACAGTCGAAATAATAGTATCAACGATAACAAAAATATTGATCATAGAGAATTATAAACCAATAAATTCAAGTTATAAAAAGTGTGTAACAATATTAAAACTCAAAATTTAGGAGAAGAAAAGAATGAACACCTTACTATGTCATTATAACAGACTTGGTGATTTGTCACCTAACCTTTGTAGCTTCTTTGCAACATGACTAAATTTAAGGTATTTTTAAGTTTGACAAAGAAAGACCCACAATTTGTCTAGCGGACAAGTAGTGTAGGTCTTAGTTTAAGTCTGTTTTTACACTAACATCATCTTTAGGTATAATACATTTCAAGTAATTTCAATTCACTCTTAATTTGATGTCCAAGATTTAGGCTTAACACTGACGTCTAAATTGATTGGCGAATAAGTGACCGACAAACCTCCTCTAGTCATCTATGATGTTTTATGTTAATATAAAATTTTGTTACACATGAAACCCGTTCATCTGACCAGTGGTCTTGTCTTTGATATCAAATCAGCTATCTCTCGGTCACACTTCTTATCATTGTATTGTCATTGATCGAGATGCCGCTCGTTCATTTCAACACTTACAATTCGTATTTATTTGTAAAATCATAAAATCCCAATCCATAATGACTTCGCAGTTTTCTTGATTTTGTTCTCATAGTACTGTATATTCTGTTCTCTGACGTTTCTAGCACTTCTGTATAAACTAGTTAATTTCAATTCTTTGTAGATCGTGTTTGTTTACGTGATCCCAAGCGTGTCAGTGCAGGCACTGGACCTTCAATGTTTCTAAGACAATGGCGTTCACAACGTAAAGTGAATGTATTTGTTTGCTCAAATCATCCTTGTGTAATATATTCAATTAAAAATAAATTAATATTTGCCAATTTAAACTTGAAAGAAGTGAATTTTATGACTCCATTAAATGGATTATTTTATAGTGACTGGTAAGAATTATACTATTTTTTTTAAAAATTTTATATACTGTGTAGTAAAAAAAGAATACAACATAAAAACATGAATATCACGACCAATTAGTCAGTCATTAACAACGTAGAACCCTGGTACATATATCCCTCGGTTTAAGTTGTCACTTTATATTAGCAGATCAAGACGGAATTATCAAGATAAATCTTAGAGTAAGTAGCATAACAGTCTTGGTCGCAGTAGAAGAAAATTGGGTATAAACAATATATTATGCTGAAAAAAAATATATTTGTGAAATAAAAAATATTGGGTAATATATTTACAAAGCTCAAGGTTCAATGGAAGACAAAAAGTGAATGCAACTGCGTTGTGTTGACCGTTTATAAATCGTTTGACCTGTCATCTCTAACTTTAGGTTGGGATAATTGCGTTAGCGAAAATAACATCAAATTAATCATCAATTCAACTTATTAACACTAGACTGATAGCTTTGATCAATTCATTTGAATATTCCAGCTATTAGGTTTTAAATTTCAAACTCTACCACAGATCGTAGTTTAGTTGCTGTTTTACCCGCAGGTGTGTTTATGTGTATTCTACAAAGCGTTTTGTTTGGTAAATTTATTATAACGCTCGGTTTTCCACGTTTACACGAATGGGAAGTTAATTTACCTTAGACTGATATCTACACTAAATTCCCTCTCAGTGTCTATTCTACAGAACTTCAACACAACTCAGATCAAGAACACGTTATTAGTCTGACTAGAACGTAAATATATTTCCACATGAAAAACCGACATAATCCAACAGCGATCAATAATCACTCATTAATAATAATAAGGACAGGAGAATATAGAACTCATCTGACACCTGTCAGACTATCTACATATCTGACTAAGCAAACAAACAATCATTCTCGTCCACACATCAAAATCTCAATGGCTCATTATCTTATCGTTATATTAACTTTACAGACCGACATTCTTGTAATCTTAACTATAATTTGATAAGATACGAGGAACTGAGATACCTCTAATTCAGTCTGTTGGTGGTTTTAGTAGTGGTTATGATCAATTCTAGAGAAAATGTTTTGATTCATTTGTTATTGACTGTTTATCTAGCATTTTAAAAATATTTTGCGGAACGGTGGCTTATTAGTTCAATCCTTTAACTTTCAGTTATTCAGTCTCGGGTGACCGGGTAGTATCACTAACCTCCATACTTTGAATGTGGTTTATACCTGAGTACCTGATGAATGAGTTAACGTATTTTTATACTTTGATGACCCTCAACCTTGAACTCTTTAATCTCAAAACTTATTATTTATTATGTTAATGTATAAAGACATTCCTAACAGAGCTAGATGTTTTAGTCAGTAGTCAGTAACAACGTAGAACTTCGTACGTACGTACATCAGTTCGAGTTGCCACACCACATTAGCACAGAGATGCAGTTATCGATCCAAATCCCGTAGTGGTAGAGGTAGCAAGAGTATAAGCAGTAATCGGGAAGATTAGGGTTTGGAGATGTTATTTAAAGAGTATAATCCAGTGAAAGAAATTTGGAAAGAGGGAAAAAGGGACATGAAGAATTCAGAAGATTAGAGTTTGGGAGAACACAGAGAGTGGATGCACCTGCGCCATTGCGAACGATTTTGAGCCATGTCATTCAGGGTCTCTAACCATCGGTTGCTGTCATCTCGCGGTCCCCAACCAGGTAGTCTACACCTACCAACATGACTCAGTTCACTTGTCAGTGACTTCATGGACTTGTGCCATGTTTTGGTTTGGCCGCCCCTAGCTTTCTTCCAACCTACTCCTATACCACTGAACATAGCACGTCGAGGCAGTCGGTCGTTGGCCATACGTAACACGTGTCCCAGCCATCTCAACTGATGAAGTTTCACTACGTCATCAATTGATTTGCCATCTTTACCTAGTACCCGTTTCCTAACAACTGTGTTACTTACTCGATGGTCCCATGATATACGAGCAATGTTTCGAAGACACCTATGATCGAATACTAGTAACCTACGGATATCCTCTACTCTTACCGGCCATGTTTCACTGCCATAAAGAAGGACGGAACGAACTGCTGCGCAGTAAACACGTCCTTTGGTTGATAGACGGATATCTCGCCTACGCCATAAATGACGCAAGTTGGCAAAAGCTAGTCGAGCCTTCTGTATCCGTGCTGAGATTTCGTCACACACCAAACCACAAGGGCTGATGAGACTTCCAAGATAAGTGAAGCGGTCGACACACTCAACTACTTCACTCCCTATCACTAGTTCGGGTGTCGATGTAACCCAATCCTGAAGCAACATTTTGCATTTCGAGGGAGAGAATCGCATCCCGAACATGCTTGCATTGTTGCTTAGAGTGGTCAGAAGACTCTGCATTTTGTCAGCGTCTTCACCAAATAAAACTATGTCATCTGCATATTCTAAGTCAACAAGTGAACCTCCTGGTAGAAGTTCAACCCCTGTAAATTTAGATGAGGAGAGTGTTATCTCTAAAAGTACGTCAATGACAAAGTTGAACAAGAATGGGGAGAGTGGACAGCCCTGACGAACACCACTTGAGGTGATCAATTCTGATGACAGTTCGCCATAAGCTCTCACTCTACCAGTTGTGTTCGAGTAGAGAGCCTTTATAAGGTTAATGTACTTCTTTGGTACTCCTTTCAGTGACAAACACTGCCATAGAACCTCACGATCAACGGAGTCGAATGCCGCCTTAAGGTCGAGAAATACTACCATTGTGGGGCGTCTGAATGTGTGTCTGAGTTCTAGAACCTGACGTAGTGTGAATATCTGATCTATACAACCACGTCCAGGTCGAAAACCGGCCTGGTTTTCTCTAGTCTGCTCTTCACGAGCTTTAGTTAGGCGTCGAAGTATGATTGAGGCTAATATTTTAGATACTATATTTGTCAAACTGATTCCTCTGTGATTGTCACAAGAGGACTTTTGTCCTTTCTTAAAAACTGGCACAATCAGTGATTGAGACCAGTCAGATGGGATTACGTCCAGTTCCCAAATTCTACCTAAGACCTCAGTTAATCTTGCTGCTAATACTGGACCACCATCCTTAAAAATCTCAGGAGTAAACCTGTCAGGGCCTGCTGCTCTCCCTCGTTTCAGATTTCCTATGGCTTTTTCAACTTCGTAAAGGGACGGAGGACTTACATTAACTTGCCATTCAGGTTGACTGGAGATCGTGGGAAACCGAAGTGTGGCTGAAGGCCAGTTGAACTGATCCCTAAAGTGTTCTGCCCATCGATCCAATCTCCTGGATTGAGAATGAATAATATGTCCATCTTTCTCTGAGATTGTTTCGCTAACGGTCGGGTTCCTAATTCCGGTTTCCTTAACGAGTCTAAACAATTGTCTGCTATTACCTATTGCCGCTGCCTTTTCCATCTCTCTTGCTTTCGCTACCCACCACTGTTCGCGATCATTGCGTAGACTTCTTGTCAGCTTGCGCTTAAGCTGACTCCGCTCTTCATTATGTTCAGAGCCAGGTGGAATGAGTTTTCGAGCATCTATCAGTGCGATAGATGCTGCTGAGATCCAGTGTTGCTCCCTAACTTTACGGTTTACCTTACTAGCAGATATCACTGCTGTTTCCACAGCTTTTCGGATATCGTTCCATGCTGCCTCGGGGTGGGCATCACATACATGGCTGCCTAACTGTTTTCCTAGTTGTTCCTGAAATATATTCTTAGCTTGACTATCATTAAGTAGGGCCCTAAGAGGTTTCCTTGCAGGATCTTTCCTACGTCCAGTAAGACGCAAGCAAATACGCGCTCGCACTAGAGCATGATCTGAATCTAGGCATGTGCTCCAGAATGAGCGACAGTCTTCTATCGAGCCCCTCCATCGGTGGCTGATAGCGATGTGATCTATTTGGGTCCAACGTTGGGACGAATTAGGGGGTCGCCATGTTAAAAGATGTTTTTCCTTATGCTTAAAGTTAGTATTTACAAGGAACAGGCGGTTATCTGAGCATAGCTGCAACAGACGGTCGCCATTATCTGTTCTTTGAGCCACGACACCATAGGATCCACCTAGGTGTCTTTCCTTATCGCTTAGTTTACCTACTTGAGCATTAAAGTCACCGGCCACTATTACTACATCCGAGCGCTTAGCTTTTCGGAGAAGGTCCGAAAGCTTTCTGTAAAACTCATCTTTTACATCATCTGAGCTGCAGTCAGTGGGAGAATAGGCAGAGACGACGAAGAGGCAACGACGAGAGTCCCTATCTTTCCGGATTCTTACTGTTCCGTTCAGCCGGACAGCGCACAAACGACTGTTTACTGGGATCCACTCTAAGAGAGCTAGTTCTGCCCTAGGACTCAATGCTATACCTACGCCGGCGAGGCCACGGGAAGCAGAATCAGGGCTTCCAGATACACGAAGCGTAAATCGAGTCGGTTCTTTATTTTGGCATGGTGAGGTCAAATGAATGACGCTACTCGGATCCTGTATGCGCGTTTCGGAGACGCAGCACACATCGATGGCGCGAGATTCTAAAGTCCTAGCTAAGGAAGCCTGCTGTCCTATTTGGCACAGTGTTCGTACGTTAAAAGCTCCTACGTGTAGTTTAGAGTGTGGTTTCAGGAGACCAGGAATGGCGTTCCACGTACTCGAATCGTTTGCCCTAGCGGTGCGAGGTGATAAAGAGACGTGAGGAGGGTTAGTCGGGAGGATAAGAGAGGTATTAGGAGGTGTAGGAAGGATTTGAATGTGATCACCTTGGTCTCTTGTGCTGTCACGGGTATGAGGGCTGATGTCACTTCCCGGCTGCCCACACCGTGGAAGGGTATTTCTTGATGAACCTGAAAAGGAAATTGGATTAGTGTTGGTCTTGACGACCTGGGAGCGTGACCGCAGAGCCCAAGGGACAACTGCTTGAGGCCGGTCGCGCACGGCCTTTTTGTGGAAGGTTTTTGACGTGTTAGCTCCGTTCTTCAAGGGGCCTTACCGCCGGAGACGGAAATCCGTGAGGTAAGGTGAGGTGTGCATTTTTAGGGTCGACCTTTTCTAACCCCACCCCTCCTTGTGGGAAGGCAGCATCGCTGTCATGCTGGTTGTCCGAGGGAAACACCTTACTGCTGTCACACCTCTCTACAGTCAGCAGTACGACTTCGCCCTCAGACCTTGAGTTGCTGCTTTTAGTCTTACCGTTCGCCAATCGACCTGCCTGGCATGGTAGAACCTGCAGGAACATATGTTCCAGCCAATATAGCTCGGTTGGGTCAACACGATAGGCAAGCCCGACCACCGCGTCAAGGTAGCAGCTTCGATCGGGAGATGTTTTATTATAATTTCAATTCACTTTTAAAACCCTATATTACCGATTTATATGGTACCGTCAATCTTCAAGCACACCCTTATTCCCCTACATAATACCCACACACATTCCACTGTGTTCATCATCGACCAAAGAATAAAAATTAGATTTTCTAAATGTGTCATCGTTCTTTGTCATCACTGAGAGTAAAAGTAATTGGAGATTGTGCAGATTTGTATTGTAAATGTTGTGACGCGCGATGTTCGAAAGCTGATACTGATAAATACACAAGCCCGCATGCTCTAAAAAAGACGCAGAGTGTGAAGGGAGGTTTATTTGACTAAGCGCATTTATGTACATCCACTCATTTATGCTTATATATGTTTGCCCCCTAAAAAATTAATCCTATGAGATGATTTGTGGCTTTTATCCCAATCGTCAATCACACATGCTTGTCATTTGCCGATTTCCGATCGACCCAGTTTGTCAATACTTTACCGAGTCAATCGCTTGTATTATTTCGCTCTACTGAGTACTAGTCTTCACACCGAATCGTAAGTCTTTCATATTGGTCGTTGTTATGCGTTAATATAAATTGAAGAAGTACTGAAAACCAGAGAGCACCAAATTACTGTTTTGTCATAGTCTAGGATTAACCAACAGTCCTCAATGGCTCCTCCTTCATGTGTTGAGTCGAGGATTTTCAGGATACATTGTAAATCAAATGGCGCGCATTTCCAAAATTGATCAATTTGTATATATTTGGCAGTTTTTTTACATAAAAGGTCCTATCTGTTTTAATGTTATTGCACAAATCATATTAAGTGTTGTCTTTGTATCTGAATGCACGTTCTATAATCCACTCAGCATTGCACTGGTTACTCCGACGGCACTCATCATTGGATCAGTGGATGAAATTCAAAAACTTCACGTAAGAACTCTGCCTTTAGAGGAAACACCGAAACGTCTTGCATTACAGTCAGAGACCAGCAGCTTAGGTGTTATTACATATCGTCAAGAAATGTTTCAAGAAGGTATGGGATTCAAACCTGTTCGTTCATCGATATCTTTATCACAGAAAATTCCCAAGTCAGCTAGCCGACTTCCAAAGACTGCACCATGTATGTTTCCCTCTTGCGCGTAAAATTTTCCAAATACTATAATAACAATATTACAGTAATCAGTATTTAATGTGTAACTTATATATATTTTTCATTAGAAAATGACATCTATTAATCTATAAGCGTATTTGTTCAACTTGTAATTCCATCTGTAAGGCAAATCACCAGCAATTAATGGACTGTTTTATAAGTGTGCTATTATGTGTTTCTGAAGGGAGTTGTTTGTAGATAAAATAGAAATTCTTAGTGAAATAATTACGATTTATTTTGTACTCTTCGCTTTAACTAATGAATTTCATTCAACTTAATATAAGAACAAAATTGGATTGAGGATGAGATATATCGCAAAACAAGCCGAAAGTAAATATCCAAAAGCAAAAAATTGCAGAAGAATTTCCAAACACTGATTGTATTAAATAATTGAGACAATTCACTAAACATGCCACTCGTTAAGAGTATATTCTTCTAACGGAAAATCCATTTCTTTCAACAAACTTATCTTATTTATCAAGAACTAGTCTAGTAACTGAAGATCAACTTGACCATCTTAATACGCTTTTTGTCTTATATTTAACCCCGAAATGGTTCAAATGATCTTAGAGTAAAACAAATCGCTTGTTTTTACTTTTACACAGGATTTATTGAAGATAGTTCTTCAGGAATTTCCCACAGGTTGCTTATAAATTCAAATTACTTCATTTATGTGCAAAATACTTAATTTCAATGATTTCATGTCAAATATTTGTGTATCATTATTTTTAGCTTCTGTCTCTGCTACTGAACGAAAGTTTCGCGAAATTGAAGTTTCATCTCTGCTCATATTCAATCAATCTAATTTGGAAATTCAATTTGCACATAATTTTTACTTCAGTCAAACATTAGTTGAAGTAGCTGTCAGTATAGCTTCTGTTCAATCTGATATTCATAATGGACCATTGTTTGCTGTTGGCACTGCTTTCTTAGTAGAAGATGAAGTGGAACCATCTAAGGGACGAATCCATTTATTCCGTTGGGATCCTGAATCTTCTAGATTGGACACAGTTCTAGTGCATGATGTGAATGGTTCTGTTTATCGAATAGTGGATTTTAATGGTCGTCTACTAGCTGCTATCAATAGTTCAGTAGGTGTATATCATGTGGCGATAAGTATTTGACCGTTTGTTTTTATAATTATCTTATCTATGTGATGTTTGTTTATTGCGTTTTCTTCTGTGATTATACTCCCTGTCATATCATTTAGATATATCACAAAAATTCAACATTGACGAAGTGTGTATTTAACAAAAATCCAGCCACAATCCATCAAAAATAAGATTTCCTAATTATTTAAAAAACTTTCGAATCTTTAATTTTCAAGTTTAAATACATTGGTTGATTGACTTATCATGCACAATACGACTTGAGATCAACCATGATGGTATATGCATATTCATTCTTTAATTATAACGGACATTTCGATCATCTTATTACATTTCGACTTCTTGTTAATTGTCTATATCCATATCTTTTTTACTCATTTCTATGTTTCTCATCGTTTTAAACTTATCTTTGCTACGTGCTACCAACTTGGTCCTTCAGCTGAAGCTAATAAGCAGATAAAATCGATAACAATGTATATACTAACAAAAATATCACATTTCGTATTCCATAGTCTGTTCGTCCGTAATCAATTTAACTGACCCCCAAGTTTCCATAACTACATTAACACATTGGAATGAAGTTAATAAAATAAATATATTAAAGCATTCTAAACAATGTAGTCCGCGCGACCATCGTAACCAGTGGTTAGAGACTGAGTGATATAGCTCAGAATCTATCACAATGGCGTAGGTGTATACACTCTTTGTCTTCCCTTAAATTGTGAGATTCAAATTACTTTATACTTTTTTTTCTACGAACTAATCCTTTCTCCCTATATTATATCCTTATCTGCAACCTTTCTTTTATATATTACTACCATTGAAGCAACTACTTCTGGGTTTTTTTGTTAATCTTGTTGTGCAACTTAGACCAATACATATATCTGTCTGGTCCTACGTTGTAGATGACTGACTGACTGAATGATAATGAGCATGACATTCAATGTACTTTACAAATAATTAATTTTATAAACAAGAAGATCTACTTTCATTTCGCTTATATTCGTTGAAACTATTCTCTTTTACTCTCCTTGTTTTTCAAAAGGTACGACTTTTTGATATTAAAGAAGATTCTTTACGATTAGCATGTAGTTTCAATGAGAATATCATTGTACTTTTTCTTCGTCGCAAAGGTGATTTCGTTCTTGTTGGTGACTTGATGCGTTCACTAACATTGTTACTATTCAAATCAAATGTTAATAATTTTGAAGCTGTAAGTTTCAGTTAGTGTTTTTTGTTTGTCTGAAAGTCAGATACATTTATACTTTTTTTCTTACCCATTACTTGTTACGATTTTTATTACTATTATCATTGACATGAAAAAATTAGTTTAATTTTTAATAAATATATAGAGTTGATAGTTTCCTCAAAGTGTTTATTTTTGACTAAGTTATTACCCTGATATATACATGAAGTTTTGGTGTCCCTCTTTTTGTTAGTTCTCAACAATTCAATTTAAATGTAAATGATACTTTTATTCCATACTAGATTGGACGACATCGTCATCCTCGTTGGACAACATGTATTGAAATCCTTGATGATGAACATTTTCTTGCTGCAGAAGTGGAAAATAATCTTTTTGTCGTTTCAAGGGATCTACCAGAAAATACTAAAGAACCAAGTTTTCGTGCTTTATTATCATCATCGAGTGACTCATGTGTTTTACCATCATTATCCAGTCAACTACAATCCAATAATGCTTCATCATCAAAGACCACCGGTTCATCAACTCAACCTGACAATACCACTAATGATAATATTGTTGCTTCTGGCACTAGTTCTACTACAACTTCAATGAGTTCAATACCATCATCAGTAGCAGAGGGTCGAAGTAGTAGTACACAATCAACTCGTCATTTTCTTGATTCTCGTCTAACTGGCAGTAAACCAAATTCCAGTGGTGTATCAGGTGAAATGCAACGTCTAGTTGATTGTGCTTATTTTCATACAGGAGATTTTGTCAATGTATTTGTACGTGGTAAGTATTTTTTTATGCAACATTTTATAAATTCAATTGATTCATTACTCAACTTTGAATTATGAAGTGAAATGGTTTTCGCAATAAAGTAGTATTTTATTTGTCTGAAACCTATTATAAACACATGTACTAAATTAATCGGTTATACTTTCAAAAAGAAATTCAACAGTTGGACTTATTTTTTCTTTATCTGATTGAGTAATGCTACAATATGTTTTGTCAGTTAAGCTTTTGATTTCAGGTTACTTTTCAACATCTATTTGTTTCTCAGTCTTTCTAGGTAATTACTTCATAGTGTACATATATTATGTCGTCTTTTGTCGGATTAGTGGCCTAGCAATCATTGCATTCTTTTCGGATGTCAGAACTGTTTTGCTGAACTGAAATCATCTCTAAAGTTTTATGCTAGAAGACATACGTTTTTTAATTTCATGAAGATATTGAAAATCCTGATACAAAACACCTCAGAGTATTAGGATATACTGTTTCAGTAGAATTTTATTTATTTTAACACAGATATTGGTACAAGGAGGCACCAAACAGATATGCGCCACACAGACCTCACTTGATATTTGTGAGGGCTGTGATACTGCGCGGGTACTCAAACCGAAGCAGGTGGAATAAAAGCCAATAACTTAAGTTAGTCTGTACCACATTTGGCACGATCTTAATCTCAGTGTGCTCATGATGAAATCCCAACCGATTTCTGCTATAACCTAGGCTTCGTCCCAACTTCAATCACCAATACATTAATAATCATATTTGGCAAATCATGTTATATCAAGCAAAGTGATCAATAATTGGTTTGTTAATCTTTAAAAATCTGACATTATAAGTTGCTTGTACTATATCATTTAACTCTCATATCTGTTATTGGACATTGAAGGTTAAATTATCCCGACAATTGAGATCACGTATTATTTTAGTGTTCCGCTAGAGGAAGTGATCCGAACTTTTTCAAGGACCTAAACAAAATGTCACTTGAAATACAAAATCTACATGTTTATTGAATTATCTTCATTCACTCTGGACCTGGACAATCTTCCATCGGACTGTATGCTTATCTTTTTTACTTTAGGAGTATAAACATTTCATCCGTCTATTATAAAAATTAGTAACGCAGTTTTGCTGTTGGTTTTACTTTCGGTTATTTGTAACTGCTAACGATATATATATATATATATATATATATATATATATATATATATATATATATATATATCTGGGAATGGGTAACAATTCTTGTTTCTTATCACTTGAAGCTATTCTCTTTTAGCTTGCCTGAATCCTATTTAGTGCCATTGTTGTTCACATTGAGAGTCTTTGTCAGCAAGTAATTGATGTATGTAAACAAGGTGATCAAACATGGAGTAACTCAGGTCGTGTAGCTGTTGAAAAGATGTACTTACTATAGTTTGAAATGATGGCCGCTGGATTTGAAGCTTACTGGAGGTATCGATACAGATTCAGGTTTGTGTAAATAGTAAATCATCGTAAACTTCATCGCCACGTTCCAATAAACAGTATAAAATTATGTAAGACATGCATTGTGGCTTAGATTACTTTGAATGCTACAGAGATTTATGCTGTAATATGAATACCCCCATAATTTTTTTATTTGTGAAACTATAATGCGAATCAAGTTTAAAAACACTTGTAATAATTTTTAACTACGTATGTTTTATTTAAGGTAATCTTGTGCTTCAGAATGCTGAAGAACGCTGGGCTGCTGTTGGTTATCCTGGTCACCTTTACGGTACTGTTAACGGGGGTTTAGGTCTTCTTGTTCAAGTTTCTCCAGTTTTATTTGCGTTTTTGAAAGAAATCGAGTTTCGTTTGTCAAATCTGGTTGTACCTGTCGGTGGATTTTCACATGATACATGGAGAGCTTTTAAAGCTGATCGTGAAATTAAGATGTCGCATAATTTCGTAGATGGTGATCTCATTGAGACAGTTACAGATTTAAACATGGACGACAAGGCTAAATTAGTCAAAGGTTTACGAATACCGGTATGTAACATTCTTTTGGTTTGATCATTACAATTTATATAATTATCGACACTAATATTTCAGTTATATACTTACGTCTTTTACCCCTCGTGGAGGAACATAGACCGCCCACCAAAATTCTCCATCCAACTTTGTTCTTAACAATCCTTTCCAGTTGCTATTCATCCCTTTGGTGTTTGCTTCCGATTTCCGAAGTAGTGTGTTCTTTGACCTTCCTCTTTTCCGTTCCCCTTCAAGATTCCAAGTTAGCGCTTACCTCATGATGCAGTTTGATTCCCTAAATGTGTGTCCTACCCACTTCCAACGTCTATCCCTAATTTCCTCTTCAACTGGAAGCTGGTATGTTCTCTCCAACAGGAAACTGTTGCTGATAGTATCGGGCCAATGGATGTTGAGTATGTTGTGTAGACGATTGTTTATAAATACTTGTACCGTTTTGATTATGGTTGTAGTAGTTCTGGAAGTTTCTGCTCCGTACAGTAGAACTGTCGTGTCTTGTTTCGGATATTGGTTGACACTTGTTTTGAGTTTCATATACTCTTCAAGTGTAGTAATGCAGCCCTTTGCCAATCCTCGCCTTCTCCATCGGATCCTCCTTGATCGTCGGTGATGCAGCCCAGTTACGTGGAAGTTTCCGTCTCTACCAGAGCTTCTTCATCAAGTGTGAATTAGTCGGTGCTCTCAGTGTTGTATTTGAGGATCTTGCCTTTTTCTGTATATGTTGAGGCCTACTGCTGCTATACTGTCCTTCTTCACTTGTATTTGTTGGTAGGTATGTGTTATTTGCGAAGTTCAAATCGTCTAGTTGCATGCAGGCTGTCCATTGTATTCCGTGCTTCCCGTCAGATGTGGAGGTCTTCATAATCCAGAAGAAAGAGAAAGGGGGGAGTAAATAGCTTTGTCTGACTTCGGTCCTCACTTGCGTCTGTCAGCTGTCTCCCATACACGACTTCGCACTATAGTCCGTCGTATTATTTAGGTAGATCTTTATATAATTAGGGAATTGCGTTGTTACGTTTCGCTGAAGTGTTTCCATGTTGTCAACACTAAGACATTTTTTGAAACCTGGTTTCATTTATATTAGCGCTATTCCTATTTGTTACTTTTTGTGCGAAATTGAATTTTTTCACTTTTTGGGGTTCTACTACCACCGTTCTCGACTCTCAGTACAGACTGATGTAGGTCAGAACAAAGGTAGTAGGGTCAAACTAAGTAAGATACCAGTCGAAGAGAAGTCGGATCAAAAACCTATGCATCAATTCAAGCCCGAACTCGGCGCGCAGAAACGATAGTTCCAACCTCTCATATTTCCTTGGTCCTAACTCTCTTCTGCAAAAGGAAAACCAGTTCAGTCTTTAGCATCAAGGTCTAGATGAATGTGCTCAGAACACATCATTGATAAGGAACTATCCAGCCTCCCACATATACTCATCAATAATAAGTGTCCATCCAGAATCGTTGAGCGAAACATGAAGCATACACCACAATCTGCAAGACATCATACAATTCCTAATAAATCATTAGCTGTTTTGAGTCGTGCTGGTAGGAGCAGACTGCCAGTTGGTTTCAGTCAGGAATATATGTGGGTAAATGACCATGACTGGGAGATTTACACACCTCTGCACCTTACCTACTGTCTGGTCTTTAGTATGTGAATCTGCCCGACATATAAACCTCAATCCGTTAGAAGGCATTGTGGGCCGAATATACTTTTTGACTCAACTTGTACTCCGACATAGAAATAGAGAACTCAAGCGTTTATGTAGGGATTATATGAAAATCTCCCAGTACAAACAACAAGCCTATTCGTTAAGTCATTTTTTCCTAGCGTATTTGGAGGGGTCACTGTAAGTGTTCTTAGGAATGAAATAAGAATCCTTTATAATGGGATGCACTTGTGCGTGGAAGGAATTCGGTTTACTGCATATTTACCTTTGAAGCTAACAAGCACAATCTGAAGTTTTACTGACTACTGTTGTTTGCATTCTTTTAAGCGTACGCACTCAAAATTTCGTATTTTTCAGGTGAACATGAATGAATTCGGAACTGCTGGTTCAACATGTACTTCTGATCCTGAAACACGAGAGTGTACTGTGGAAGATTTAGTCAAAGTTGTTGAAGAAATGTCACGTCTTCATTAGTAGCAGATAAATCATACTAAATGTTTATATCGATTTATTTATATTGATGCAGTTATTGCTATTCATTATCTTTACTTTTGCCTTTGATGATGAAAGCCGCTAGATTTTTTTAAAGCCATATTTTGCCACCTAATTATTCCAAACATTTTAATTCTGTACATGTTTCCTCTTTAATAATACACTTTTTCATTTAATGTAACGCCCATATAAATATATTAGAAGTTCGTCGAAAATTTGTCCCATCCTTCACTACATTGTTGGTGTTAGGGTACTGCTCTGCTGCTTATATTTCTTTAAAAATATATTGTTTACACCAATTCTTTTTTGTCCTGTGAAGTATTGCTCTACTTAAACATTCAGAAACTAGGTTTTTCATGATGATGACATGAACACCGAATGTCTATGAGTGTGTAGAGGATCAGCCCAACCGTATTGGTTAAAGTCAGATGAAAAGACGGGTTCCTAGGGGTCAGGGATATTTCATAGTTTCCTCAGCACTGGCCGCATACTTGGAACATGTAGATAGAGAGTAACTTTGGTGGCGGTAGTACAAAGTTTATAGCGAGTAGGATGAATACCACTGCTAACAATTACTGGTTGGCCCTATGAGGAACAAGAGTAATGCCTATGATTTTATAGCCTTCAGATAATGAAGTCTAAATAACAACAGTGCCAATCTAGCCATGCAGAATCTTGTGACTTCCTGGTCACTCTACGTTGTTTACACACTTCCAACTTCGTCATTAGTGTTAAGGGGTGACGCGACAAAGCGTTTCGGGAACGATGTAAAACACCACACAGTTATAGGCAGATAGTTTAGTCATATAACTCAGTTGTTTGCGAGCCACCCCTGTTGTTACCAGGCATCACGGCTTCGCTCTCAAGTTCGAACGGTGGGACTATAGTTTATGCCGCTTTCAAAATGGCCACCAGTGTTACGGCACTCAAGAAGCACTATTCTAAACAATGTAGCTCGATAAGGTTATTGAGTTGTCAGAAATTCTAACAAGTTGACTAACCTGAATCATATCCTTCATCAATCAGCTTAGGTATCTGGCGAAAAATAACCGCTAAAAGAAAAGCTGTAGAAGTAAACAGTAGCGGAAAGTGATAAGACTAATGAAATCATTTCCCTATACATACGTCTCAGTGGAACTACTGAGGGAGAAGCTGTCGAACAAAATTTGGCGGCTGGTTAAAGATAATAGAACTAATACTTCTCCAGCTATGATTATCGTGGAGACCACAACAACGTCCGAATACGCACAGGTAGGAAGGTATATTAGAAGTGACTTGAAACCGACAAGGAACGCTAACGCTAAGAATTGTCATAGTATCGCGCGACCCATGAACTAAATATTTAGATTGTGTGATCCGCACTGTTTTTTTACTGACTGCCGTGTATACATTCTCCAACTGCAATGGATCTCCAGTTTTATCTCCATTACAGAACACTCTAATTAGGTTTAAAATAAAAATCTTCGGTTGTCTACCAGTACCTAAGACTGCTTAAGGCATTCCCAAACATTTTACTTACCTGAATATGTTACCTCTCCAGCACTGCTGCCGACTGAGTGAAACGATGGTCATTATGAAGAGGCTAGTTCAAAAAAAGCTGTATTGTACAATTTATAATGCGTTAACAGTACACCTGTCGTAAATTTATGTTATTCAGCAAAACAATGTGGAGAAGTTAGTTACAGTGAAAATGTTAACAAAGAAAATGATATTAATTCTGGCATGTCATTACTAACGAGCATACGAACATTTTATAATACAGTGGTCGGAGTGAATTTCGCTTAAATCCACTACTTAATATTGACATATTGGCTGGGAAATGAAAACGAGTGGTAGCCATTACCAGTATCGAAAGTGAGAAAACCAATGTTAGGAATAGTATTCCAAGACAAAGTCAAAGTGACATTATCATTGCCAATTAATCCGTAGCCATCATCCCAAAAATAATACTTTGAGGTCATTTTTTTGTAAACCAGTTCAGCTTTAGATCCACGTTTGATGATTTTGTCCCACAAAACAACTTGATTTAGTTTGTTATCTGCGGACTTGTATTCTGCAGAAAGATATAAAAAGAGTTGTTTTACATTCCAGTTGAACAGGTGATCTAAGGAAGACTGAAGGGAATTATTCGAAATGAAGTCTTACTGATAAATCAATAGTTATTAAACCCAAATCATTGTGATGACCGCTGTGAAGAGTGTAATCGTCAGCTCGATCGACTATTGCACGACCAACGTTGATATCGACAGAAGCTGATGGTCTGATGCTTACAGTAGACAGGAAACAAAACAGCATTAACGCAGTATATGCGGTGAGAGTGAGAGTCAATAATGCACTACATCTTGTTACTATTGAGTACATTCTGCACAAAAAGCCGATACAATCTACCCGCTACGACGCGTATTATGACATAAAGCACACGACTGTAGAAAATGAAGTACTAAAACAAATCCAAGTCAATGAAAAAGTCATTATTTCAGTAAATAAGAAAATGAAGAAAAGTTTTCAAAAAACTTATATCAGAAGGATGTAAGTGTTTAAATCGACATGACCTGGAAATCTAAGCATGCTGCCTAGGTTTTCGTTATTAGTGGAATGAGTCTTCAGTAATAAGGATTATAAGTTGATGAACCTGTGTTAATCCTGAGCTACTTCGTTCATCCGGAAGAAGAAATGTTGAAGACTCTGTTGGTAAACAGTGATGATAATCGCAACTGCAACCATATGGATGATATAAAAAGTTGCAAGTAGACATGAACATTCTCAGTCCGCTTAAATATATCATCAAACCCAACCTCACAGAGACCCCGGATCAAATGAATGACATACATAATTTCGTAGGTCGTGTTGCGTCAGATGTATTTGAAAGAATAAGACGATCCAACAATGCAATTGTGTTTAATATACCGGACACATATGCCCTTAAAAATATCAAATCTAGTCTGCTTAGAGCCTGCAATGTGACACACATACCATGTGTATGCACAAGATTAAAAAGAAGTCATCCTGGTATGCACTCACCGATCTTGTTCAGAGTCAACTCATCTGTGGACGCCAGTGAGTTTTTAACTTTCGACAATTCATTGAGACAGAAACAGATTTTCAAGGATATTAAAATTCTTCCAGATAGAACACCATGCCAGCGAAAAACAGAAACAGATAGCTACAGGCCACCAGCGTCAAACTCCCAAACGCATCATAATCCTAATGGTCGTAAAATTAAGCCCGATTTTAAGAGGTCGTCTAACTTTACAAGTATGCCGCCACCATAAAACTCTCCTGAATCTCCAAAAGTTCAAAATTCAGAAGAACGTAATCCCGGTGTAGGTGGTGTCCATCCTCTTAAGAATGTTGACTTAGATTCAACCCAGAGTCTTTGTGGTGATGACTAATAGGATAACACGATCCAAATCCCTGTTAGTGCAACACCCAGTTACAGTAACTGTGCGACGGATAACAGGAAAGTTAATCATAACATTTCTATAACTGACCACACACTTAACGTCGATATATTCGAACCTTGCAAACCATCGCAAGTATATTTAACAGCACACGATTCTCCCCAAATTACGAAGAAGCCGAAATTAACCACAAACCTTGGGAATAATTGTCTGGAACATGTTACCCGGTATAAATAGTAATCCGAATTGTAAATGGCCAGTTGGTCGCACACATAGACCTGATAGCCTTCTTGGTTCGGCTTCCAGTATGTACATTATGCCTTTATTAGATGCTATATCCAATAGCAATGAGAAGACTTTTTTGTAATTCCACCGACTTTTCTGCCGGCAACGGTAAACATATTTGACATTATGACAAAGTGGTTGAATCTATTTCTCTTCGCAACACAACTCTTACCTTAGCCAATCCTGCGAGTATTCATGGAACTACCAATTGTGATTTATACTCTAACCTGCTTCACTATGATAACTCTGAGTTTCTTATTCTTTCGTTCAATGCCCGCTCTCTGTCCAATAACATTATTCATCTTAAAACTCATTTATTCATTATAAATCCAACCATTGTACTTATTACGGAAACATGGTGCAAATCATCTATATCCGATCATTCCTTGAATGTAGATAACTACGTTTTCTTTAGAACCGATAGATGTTATGGATTAGGAGGCGGTACAATTATCTATGTCCGTTCAGACATTCAGGCGTGCAAATTTGGGGATAAATCTCTTGACAATATAAACGACTCCACTTGGGTTACTGTAAACTGTGGATCTCAAACCTATCTACTGGTGGGATGAATAAACAGATCACCTATGCGGATACTAAGTTTGACAGATTACTAACAAACATCTTTTCCATTGCTTCGTACCAACCACATACTTTTTAAATCATCGGAGGTTATTTTAATCTGCCAAAAATTACATGGAGCTTGACTCCGGTACCAGGTCGATATAACAGGCTAGTTGAAACACTAGAAATTTTTGGATGTGTTCAACAGGTCCGGAAACCGACCAGGGGGAATAATATACGTAATTTAATGTTCACAATCAACATAGACTCTATCTCAGTGCATACCAGTCATGAGTATTTTATGAGTGATCATCGAGTTGTATTGAGTATTATCCATTTTTTAAACGCCATACAATTGAACTCTAAAACTTCAGTGATGTACCAGAGCAGACATTTTGATCAACAAACCTGGAAACGGACTGAAACTCTCATTCAATGTTCACCGTGCGAAACTTATTTTATCACAAATAATGTTGACATTGCACTTTTCAATCTATACCACAAACTGGTATACTGCCTTGACTGCAGTGCTCCAGTTATTGGCCACATCGCTTATAATGCTAAAAGGGGCCAGGATACTTTTAAAAGAAAGCTGAGGAAATTAAAACGCCGCTACTACGAGCACAATGATGTGTATTCACTTCAGAGTATACTTAAAGTAATCGACAGAAATGCTTCATTTAAACGCATTTACTTTATGAATGTAGAAAATAAGGTCCTAGTTTGTAAAAGCTCAGAATTATCAATACGTCGGCTTTTTAAATCTCGTGTGAAGTCAAATTCCCTTGGCACGACTAAATTTATCATAGTTAACGGAAGTATTGTTGACGACTCTAATATTATTTGCGAACAATTCAGCAAGTACTTATCGCAATGCTACAAAACTGAAACCGATAGCCCTATCATTACATTTCGAATGGTGACATCCAGACACCTATCGAAAACTGATTTTATACCCTCCAACATCAAGCAGGCCATAGCTGCCCTGAAAACGTCTTATGATGGTGGACCTGACGGGATACCTTCATCGCTTGCGAAACATTGTAGTAGACAATTCCCACTATTTTGTTTGGAACTTTTCAACTTATCTATGGAGATTTGCATTTATCTAT